TCTCATATTCAAGGCAGTTAACAGACATAAAAGGAGAAATTAATAGTAACACAATACTAGGGGGGACACTTTTAACACTCACCCCACTTACCTCAATGGACAGATGATCCAGGCAGAAAATCAATAAGAAAACAGATGCCTTAAAAGACACATTAGTCAAGATGAACTTAATTGGTATATATAGAGCATTCCATTTGAAAGCAACAGAATACAGATTCCTTTCAAGTGCGCATGGAACATTCTCCAGGACTGACATGTGGTACCTGTACAAGTACAGTTGAAGTATGTACTCAGCCACAAAGCAAGCCTCAATAAATTTAAGAAAAATGAAATCTTATCAAGCATCTTTTCTGACCACAGCACTATGAAATTAGACATCAACTACAAGAAAAAACTGCACAAAACAGAAACACATGGAGGCTTAACATTGTGCTACTAAATAACAAATGGATCACTGAAGAAATCCAAGAGGAAATCAAAAAAATACATGAAATAAATGAAAACAGAAACATGATGATCCAAAACATGGAACACAGCAAAAGCAGTTCTAAGAAAAAAGTTAATAGCTATACAAGCTTACCTCAGGAAACAAGAAAAATCTGAAACTACCTAACTTTACACCTAAAGCAACTAGAGAAAGAACAAAACAAAACCCAAAGTTAATTAAAAGGAAAGAAAGCATAAAGATCAGATCAGAAATAAATGAAATACAGAGGAAGAAAACAATAGTAAAGATCAGCGAAACTAAAAGGTGGTTCTTCAAAAAAGAATGTATGTATGTATATGTATAACTGAATCACTTTGCTATACACCTGAACAGAACATTGCAAGTCAAGTATACAATAAAATTTTTAAAAATAAAAATGTCAAATATTAAAAGCAATAAATAAAAATAAAAGCTGGTTTTTTTGTAAAGATAAACAAAATTGATAAAGCTTTAGCCAGACTCATCTGGAAAAACAGGGAGATAGCCCAAATCAATAAAATCATAAATGAGAAAGAAGTTACTGTCAACACCACAGAAATATAAAGGCCCATACTAAAAGCAACTATTTGTCAATAAAATCAACAACCTACAAGAAATATGCAAATTCTTAGAAAGGTACAATCTCCCAAGAGTGAAAAATGAAGAAAAGAAAACATGAACAGACCAATTTTAAATACTAAAATTGAATCTGTAAAAACTCCCCCAAAAGATACCATATCAGATGACTTCACAGGCAAATCTATAAAGCATTCATAGAAGAGTTAACACCTAAATCTTTTGAAACTATTCCAAAAACTTGCAGAGGAAGGAATACTTCCAAACTCATTCAATGAGGCGACCATCACTCTGATACCAAAACCAAAGATACCACAAAAAAGAAAAATTACATACAGATGTCACTGATTAATATAGATGCAAAAATATTAAACAAATTACTAGCAAACTGAATCCAACATTACATTAAAAGGATCATACACCATGATTAAAATTCCAGGGATGCAAGATTTTTCAGTATCCACAAATCAGTGTGATACACCACAGTCACAAACTGAATTAAAAACTATATGATCACTGCAATAGATGCAGAAAAAGCTTTTGATAAAATTCAATACCCATTTATGATAAAAAGTTCTCCAGAAAGTGGCATAGGGGGAACTTACCTCAACATCATAAAGCCATTTTGACAACCCCTATTCACAGCTAACATCCAAGTCAGTGGTGAAAAGTTGAAAGTATTTCCTCTAAGTTCAGAAACAAGACCAAGGATGAAGGATATCCACTTGGCACTTTTATTCAACAGAATTATGGAAGTCCTAGACATGTTAGAGAAGAAAAAGAAATGAAAGGAATCCAAATTGGAAAAGGAGTAATAAAACTGTCACTGTTTGCAGATGACATGATACTATACATAGAAAATTCTAAAGATGCTACCAGAAAATTACTAGAGCTCAATAATTGCAGTACAATTGCTGGACACAGTTAATACACTGAAATACTTTCTTTTTCTATACACTAACAGTTATCATTGCATCAAAAAGAATAAAATACCTTGGAATAAACCTACCTAAGGTGGCACAAGACCTGTAGTCTAAAAACTATGAGATGCTGATGAAAGAAATCAAAGATAACACAAAGAAGGATATACAATATTCTTGGATTGTAACAATCAATATTGTCAAAATGAGTATACCACCCAAGATAATCTACATATTCAGTGCAATTGCTATCAAATTACCAATGGCAATTTTCATAGAATAAGAAATTTTAAAATTCGTATGGAAGCACAAAAGACCCCAAATATCCAAAGAAATCTTGAGAAAGTAAAACAAAGCTGGAGGAAACAGGCTCCCTGACTTCAGACTATACTCAAAGCAGTAGTCATCAAAATAACATGGTACTGGCACAAAAACAGAAATGCTGATCAATGGAACAGGAGAGAAAGCTCAGAAACAAACCAACACACCTATGGTCAATTAATCTACAACAAAGGAGGCAAGAATATACAATAGCAAAAATACAGTTTCTTCAATAAGTGGTGCTGGGAAAACTAAACAAATGCATGTAAAATAGTGAAATTAGAACGTCCTGTAACACCATAAAAATAAACACAAAATGGATTATAACCTAAATGTAAAACCAGATATCATAAAACTTTTGGGGGAAGACATAGGCAGGATACATAAATAGCAGCAATATCTTTTTGGATCTATCTCCTGTGTAATGGAAATAAAAATTTAAATTAAAAAGAAAATCTTTTAAAATGAGACCTAAATAAACTTAGAAACTTATGCACAGCAAAGGAAATCATAAACAAAATGTAAAAGACTACCCACAGAATGGAAGAAAATCCCTGACAAGGGATTAATCTCCAAAATATATAAACAGCTCATTTTCCGAAAAATGGGTAAAAGATCTAAATAAACATTTCTGCAAAGAAGATATACAGGTGGCCAACAGGCACATGAAAAGATGTTCAATATCATTAATTATTAGAAAAATGCAAATCAAAACTACAACAAGGTATCATTCACACCACTCAAAATGGCCATTATCCAAAAGTCTACAAATAATAAATGCTGGAGAGGGTGTGGAGAATAAGAAGCCCTCCTGCATTGTTGGTGGGAATGTAAACTGTTATAGCCACTATGGAGAACAATATGCAGGCTCCTTGAAAAGCTAAAAGTAGAACTAGCCTGCTTTTTTTGCTCCTGCAGCTTTAGTTCTGGGCATATATCTAGAGAAAACCATAATTTGAAAATACACATTCACCCCAGTGTTCATTACAGTGCTATTTACAACAGCCAAGACATGGAAGCAACCTAAATGTCTATTGACAGATGAATGGATGAAGATGTGGCATATATATACAATGAAATATTAGTTATAAAAAGAATAAAAAAGGATAAAATAATGTCATTCTCAGCAACATGGATGGATCTAGAGATTACCATACTAAGAGAAGTCAGAGAAATATAAAGTAACATGTGCTATCACTTAAATGTGGAATCTAAAATAAAAAAAGATACAAGTAAACTTTCATACAAAACAGAAATAGACCCACAGACAGAAAACCAACTTATGATTACCAAAGGGAAAAGGGAGTTGGAGGGAGGGATAAATTGAAAAATTAGGACTGACATACACACTACTATATATAACATAGATAACCAACAAGGATCTACTATATAGCACAGGGAACTACACCCAATATTTTGTAATAAACTAAGAGAAAATAATCTGAAAAAGTATATATATGTATATACACACACACACACACATATATATAAATAATTGAATCACTTTGCTGTACATTGGATTAACACAGCATTATAAATCAACTATACTTCAATAAGAAAAAAGTTTTTTAATTTGAATGGAAATTAATTCCCTGAAATAGTTGCCTGCTGTCATAACTGCTGGGAGTTTTCATGTACTACCAGGGGAATACAGATACCACAGTTTGAAACTATTGCTGTAAAATATGATTCTTAACTTTGGGGTCTCAACATCCCTTAAATTATGTTGAACTCTACAGGCCCTTTTATCCAGAAAAGTCAGTCAATCTGAGTCTTGCTTCATCTCTCTTGCTAACTCGCACACACATACCTACATACTCAACGTACATAAATGGTTTCATTCGCAGATCCCCTAATGCTTAAATATGGACCTCAAGTTTAAAATCATGGCTTAGAAACACTCATTTTCAGGAACTCAAAAAAACGTTTTTTTTTGGCTTTATCTTGATGCTTTTTAATTTTAGTGATTTAAATGTGTTTTTTTTTTAAACAAAACAAAACTTTGTGTAGAAAACAAAATAAAGAGCATTTCATTTGCATGTTTCCCCAATATCCTAGGGAGAGTACCCTACCTATAACAACTGAGGATGGATTTTACATAGTTCGGATTTGATCAAACTTGAATTATGGTTCTTGGGTCATCCATTTGATTCTGTTTTGTTTTTTGTTTTCTTTTTCTATATTATGTTTGTCTCCACAAGTCTTCCTTGAATGTATAACTTCTTTAAATTTCTACTACCCAACCTCCTACCCAGTAATTTGACCTTACAAAATAATTAGGGAAAGATCAAGGATCATTAATGTTTTAAAGAGATTTTTCACTCCAAGAGAGGTGCACATGTGTCTTTTAAATTTTTAGCTTGTTTTTAGTGAATTTAAGGTATTATTGGCTTTACAAAACTCAAATGCATTCTATTTCCCAAGTGTAAAAAAAATTTTTTTCTTCGTAGCTTCCCTTCTACTTTCATAGCTCTTATTTTTCAACGTCTTCTCACATTTTTTTTTTTAAACCTCAGAACAATCAGTCTGGGAAACAGCACATCCAAGAATCAAGATCCCCACTTGGTGGGTGAAGAAGCTTAGGTGCAGCTACCAAGTTCATTCTTGGGGAAAAGAAAGCTAACCCTCAATATTCCAGGCAAACATCCACAATGCCTGCCCTGATGGCCTCTTCTGACCCAACTTGCTGATGCTCTGTGTTCCTTGTGCTATTGTAGATATTGATGAGTGTCTGGAACAGAATGTGCGCTGTGGGCCAAATCGCATGTGCTTCAACATGAGAGGAAGCTACCGTTGCATCGAGACACCCTGTCCACCTGACTACCAACGGGATCCTGTGTCAGGGTATGTCTTGCCTTCTCTTCCCAGGCATGCTTTTGAAAATCCTTCTTCCTCTCTCTCCTTGACCAACAAGCCCTGTCTGCAGTCATCTTCCTCACTCATGGGAAGTCAATAATCCGTCAGGGTTAGGGGTTTACAGCGTGCTCCTTCTTCAGAGAGTGGGCAAAAAAATGAATTCATCCTGCAGCAGCGACTGCCAGCTTTGAGCTGCCAGAGTTTCCTGGAACAAGTCTGCTCAGTGCATAATGCACCAGGCAACATCTAGAATCCTTCCTCAGCAGGGAGCATTTTACAGGATGATAGAGCCTACCTACCTTTGTCTCTCTTCTCTTGCTGTTGCCTCAGGGTTTTCAGGGCTCTCAGCTTTTAGAGCATTCGCTCTAAGAAGTACCACGGTTGTTACAGTGATGAGTCATCATGACTCCATGGGAGTGTGGAGGAGACCAAGGATGAGTCAGTAGTCTGTTCCTTCACATCTCATCTTGTTTACAACTTCTGCTGTCTGAAACACTGTCTTTTCTGGGTTTTGAATAAACTGCTTTGTTTTCTCCCTCCCCTTACAGAAATGTTGCACTCTGTTTAGGCACCAAGTTGGTGGGGTGCTTGGAAAATGAGATAATGGCCATCATGAATAGGCTCCACTAATGAGGAGGTAGTTCTGAAACCAAACGCTGGTTGGATCTCACTTTGTTTTCCTCAGTGGTGACTCCCATGTTACTGTAACATGGTCAAGTGTGTGCTGCCCAGGATTCATTCAAAACCTATTTGTAATCTGTCTGAGGGAGTACGGAAGGGGGAAGATTAAAAATACAGACTTATCAGACTTTTAAAAATACTATGAGTGAAGAATCTGTATCTTCAGAACAATGTCCTTTGTGCATTTTTTTGTTTTACTCTCTATTACCAGTGATTTCTGGCACACAATTTCAAAGTCATGATGACTCATAAACAACTACTGTGGGCTCTGGAAAAAGAAAATATACTATCTTAAATCTAAAATGATGTGGAAAGCAAATACTGAAAAGAAAGTTGTGTTTTTATGGTTTTTTTGGAGTCGTAATTGATGTTTTATTACTTTTAGAAAAATAAACCAATGTCAATATATTCTATTTCTGTTTTCGAATAGTCTTAGGGTAGATGTTAAAATTTTAAAGTCATTTATAGTCCTCTCTTTAAGAAGTCCTTGTTTCCAATATATATGCAGATGTTTCTCTTTCCAAAACTGACTTTTCATTTTAAAGATGTTCTGTGGTACTTTTGTCGGTGGTTCAAAAGCTTCTGATTTTAATGGAGCTGAGAGAGAAATATATGACTCTAGACCAACACACTCTCATCGGCATCTGGCATCTGGTTTCAGTTAATAACACAGACCATAGGGTGAGCCTTAGTATATTGCAGTCAGACTGTCTCCTGCCTTTAATGCCCCAAAATTATCATGGATCATGATCACCTGCATCATGCCTTCTCCTGTTTCCAAGCCAAGATAACTTTATATATTTCATGTGATTATTGTCCTTAGGTTCTGCCTCAAGAACTGTCCACCCAATGATTTGGAATGTGCCTTGAGTCCTTATGCCTTGGAATACAAACTTGTCTCCCTCCCGTTTGGAATAGCTGCCAATCAAGATTTGATCCGGCTGGTTGCATACACTCAAGATGGAGTGATGCATCCCAGGACAACTTTCCTCATGATAGATGAGGATCAGACTGTTCCCTTTGCCTTAAGGGATGAAAACCTGAAAGGAGTAGTGTACACAATACGACCACTACGAGAACCAGAGACCTACCGCATGAGGGTTCGAGCCTTATCCTACAGTGCCAATGGGACCATTGAATATCAGACCACATTCATAGTGTATATAGCTGTGTCTGCCTATCCATACTAAGCAGTTCTCCAAAGCGTAAATCCACATAATTAAGCCGCATTTACCGTGGGAATTAAGTTCCCTGAACAGCTGCAGTCTTGGCAACCTGAAAATGGTGCTGTTCTCTCTTTTGTGTGTGCCTTCCTTGATGCAGCTGAGGTATTTTCATGATCCCACCATGGTCATATCTTTTGGTAAGGTCTAGAAAAGTCTCGTAGTATTTTCTTTATTTATTACACTGGAGCAGTTCCTTTGCAAGGATTATTCTGAACATTTAACAGGACCCATCAGTGATGTTTTATAGTAACGTAGTAGCTAAGATAATTTTGTAAAAAAGAAAAAAAAAATTCAAAGCCAAGTGAATTTGAGCATTTAACCATTTTGAGAATAATAAAGCTAGTTGCTGTGTGTTTTGATCAAAGCGTACTAAGTAACTTATGAAGATACTTTTAAGTATTAATACTTTATATTAATAATAGGACTTACATACTTATTTTTACTTTAAAAAGGAAAGAAATACCACTCATTATGGAAGTATAGTACAGCTTCTAGAAAGCTTTTTAATACCAAATGATGTTCACCTTGATTGAGCATCCAAAATAAGGAGATTATTTTCAGTAATTTTGTGGAACCAGCTGAACCAGTTATAATAATAGAAAAAAATATATTTGTCCTCAGTGATTATGGCATGGATCTTTGCTCCGACATTTTTGACATGGCTTTCCATTCAGTTAGCACCATAAATTTTACATTTTAGCATTTTTTAAATTTTCCTGTCAATTGGAAACAATTTTTTGAAACACCAATGGGGCAGTTTTGTTTTTCTTGAAAATCTTGTATGTTCAAATTAGCATAATGTTAAACGTCAATACACTGTACATTGTGGTAACAGACTCTGGAAGCAATTGCCGAGATGTATTGTATTTTTATGAAGTGTATATATATATTACCTTAGTGTGTATTTTCTTTATAATATCTTGATGGACTTTTTTAAAGTTATTTTATAAAAAAATTGTTCCAGTAAAACCTGCCTAAATAAAATTTTCACATCTTAACTTTTTTTAAAACCTAAATTTGATTTCTTATACCCAAAATAAGTATTAAAAATTTATAGACATACATACATGTATGTGTCATACATATCATGATTTAATCTTCACAACTCTTGAAATAGTATTATTCATATTTTATATGTCCACATCCTGGGATTCAGATAACCTATGTAACTTCCTTAAGACAACACAGCTAATTAATGGCAAAAATGGCATACCTTCTACATCTCATAACTCCAAGTTAAATGATGTCTCCATTTCATGAGAGTTTTCTTACTTAGACAGTTTTATATTGCATCAAGTGATTTCATCTACCTGTGATAGCTAATAAACAAAGGCCTAATCATGGCCTGTGATTGAAGAATTTTTACCTAGATCACATTATTCAAAGAAACCTGGAAAAATCATCTAGTCCACAGCCAGGCAGTCAGACAGGTGGTTATCTAAATCAGTGTTTGCCAAAAAAATTCTATAGAACAATAGTCCAGTTAAGGTATTTTGAGTCAACTGAGTTCCAGTATCAAACAAGTTTGTGAAACACTATATAACATGTCCTCCTCCTAAGTATTTACTATGATATTAAGCAAATACTTAACTCAGCAGGGACCATAGGACTAGAAGAGGTCAGTTTTCATTCCAGCCTCAAAGAAGATCAATGCCAAAGAATGTTCAAACTACTGCATAATTGCACTCATCTCACATACTAGCAAAGTAATGCTCAAACTTCTCCAAGCTAGACTTCAACAGTACATGAACCAAGAACTTCCAGATGTCCAAGCTGGATTTAGAAAAGGCAGAGGAATCATATCAAATTGCCAGCATCCACTGGATCACAGAAAAAGCAAGAGAATTCAAAAAAAACATCTGCTTCATTGACTACGCTAAAGCCTTTGACTGTGTGGAGCACAGCAAACTATAGAAAATTCTTGAGAGATGGAAATATCAGACCACCTTACCTGACTCCTGAGAAACCTGTATGCAGGTCAAGAAGCAACAGTTAAAAGTGGACATGGAACAATGGACTGGTTCCACATACTGGGAAAGGACTACGTCAAAGCTGTAAAATGTCACCCTGCTACTGGAACTTTTATGCACACTGCTGCTGCTGCTAAGTCGCTTCAGTCATGTCCGACTCTGTGCAACCCCATAGATGGCAGCCCACCAGGCTCCGCCGTCCCTGGGATTCTCCAGGCAAGAATACTGGAGTGGGTTGCCATTTCCTTCTCTAATGCATGAAAAGTGAAAGTGAAGTTGCTCAGTCGTGTCCGACTCTTCACGACCCCATGGACTGCAGTCTACCAGGCTCCTCCGTCCATGGGATTTTCCAGGCAAGAGTACTGGAGTGGGGTGCCATTGCCTTCTCCTATATGCACACTACATCCTGCGAAATGCTGGGCTGGATGAAACACAAGCTAGAATAAAGATAACCTCAGATACACAGATGACACCACCCTAATGGGAGAAAGTGAAGAGAAACTGAAGAACCTCTTGATGAAAGTGAAAGAGGAGAGTGAAGAAGCTGGCTTAAAACTCAACATTCAAAAAACTAAGATCACAGCATCCAGTCCCATCACTTCATAGCAAATAGATGGGGAGACAATGGAAACAGTAACAGACTTTATTTTCTTGAGCTCCAAAGTCTCTGCAGATGGTGACTGCAACCATAAAATTAAAAGATTCTTGCTTCTTGGAAGAAAAGCTATGACAAACCTAGACAGCATATTAAAAAGCAGAGACATTACTTTGCCAACAAATGTCCATAAAGCCAGAGCTACATTTTTCCAGTAGTCATGTATGGATGTGAGAGTTGGACCATAAAGAAGGCTGAGTGCCAAAGAATTGATGCTTTTGAACTGTGGTGCTGGAGAAGACTCTTGCAAGTTCCTTGTATTGCAAGGAAATCAAACCAGTCAATCCTAAAGGAAATCAATCCTGAATATTCATTGGAAAGACTGATGCTGAAGCTCCAATACTTTGGCCACCTGATGTGAACAGCCAACTCATTGGATAAGACCTTGATGCTGGGAAGAGCTAAGGGCACAAGCGGAAGAGGATGACAGAGGATGAGATGGTTGGATGGCATCACCGACTTGAAGGACATGAGATTGAGCAAGCTCTGGGAGATGGTGAAGGACAGGGAAGCCTGGCGTGCTGCAGTCCATAGGGTCCAAAGAGTTGGACTCAACTAAGCAACTGAACAACAACAATGATATTAAGTCCAAATATCAAACAAGTTTGTGAAACACTATATAACATGTCCTTCCATTAAGTATTTACTATGATTACTGATACTTACAATCTTAGAAAATAATCTTAGAAATTCACTAGTAAATAAAATTTGCTCAAGTTTTAACTGTTACCACAATATTTAATCATGAACATTTTCCCTCAATATATTGTAATATATATATTGTGGTCTTCCCTGGTGGCTTAGAGAGTAAAGAATCCACTTGCAATGCAGGAGACCCAGGTTCAACCCCTGGATGAGGAAGATCCCCTGGAGAAGGGAATGACAACCCACTCCAGTATTGTTGCCTGGAGAATTCCATGGACAGAGGAGCCTGGTGGTCAGTTCATAGGGTTGTAAAGACTAGAACATAACTGAGCAACGAACACCTAATACAAGATATTTAATCACAAACATTTTCCTCCAATATATTGCAATAGATCACTGGACTTTTGGAGAATACTGGTTTAATATAGTCAAGATATCTACTCGATTCCTCAGTCCTTAGAAAGGACAGTTTATAGCCTACTTTAGTAAACAATCCTAGCACATGATCCTGACCATTGAGCTTCTTTGATGCTGATGAAAGAAAACAAAAGCTAACACAAAGAAATAGAAAGATACACTGTGTTCGTGGATTGGAACAATCATGTTGTCAAAAGGACAAGGCCATCTATTCAAGGCAATCTACAAATTCACTGCAACCCTTAACAAACTACCAATTGCATTTTTCACAGAACTAGAAAAAAAGATTCTAAAATTTGCATTGAAACACAAAAGAGCCCAAATAGCCAAAGCAACCTTGAGAAAGAAAATTGGAGCTGGAGGAATCAGGCACTCTGGCTTCAGACAGTACTACAAGGATACAGTCATCAGCTGTATCAACAGTATGCTGCTGCTGCTAAGTTGCCTCAGTCATTTTCAACCCTGTGCGACCCCATAGACGACAGCCCACCAGGCTCCCCTGTCCCTGGATTTCTGCAGGCAAGAACACTGGAGTGGGTTGCCATTTCCTTCTCCAATGCATGAAAGTAAAAGTCAAAGTGAAGTCGCTCAGTTGCATCCAACTCAGTGACCCCATGGACCACAGCCTACCAGGCTCCTCCGTCCATGGGATTCTCCAGACAAGAGTACTGGAATGGGGTGCTATTGCCTTCTCCCAACAGTATGCCACTGGCATGAAAAAAAATACAGATTAGTGAACAGGATAGAAAACCCAGAAATAAATCCACACACCTACAGTTAATCTATGACAAAGAAGGCAAGACTATATAATGGAGAAGAGACAGTCTCAATAAGGGACACTGGGAATACTGCACAGTCACATGTAAAGAATGAAATTAGAATATTTTCTAACACCATATGCAAAAGTAAACTCAAAATGGATTAAAGACCTAAGTGTGAAACTAGATACTATAAAACTCCTAGAGGAAAATATAGAACACATAGAATATTCTTTGACATAAATCACAGCAGTAACTTTCCGGATTCATCTCCTAGAGTAATGGAAATTAAAAAAATAAACAAATGGGGCCCAATTAAACTTAAAAACTTTTGCACACCAAAGGAAACACACAAAATGAAAGACAATCCACAGAATGGGAGAAAATATTTGCAAACAATGTAACCAACAAGGGTTTAATCTTCAAAATATACAAACAACTCATGCAGCTCAATATGAAAAATAACAACCCAATCAAAAAATTTCATATGCATATGATACCATTCTAATAGCAGAAAGT